TGATTCCCAGCCCAAAGATCTCCAATATCTCTGTGGAAACAGAGGGTTCGGTGGTCCATCGTGCGAACGGAATGGTCGGCACAAGCTTTGGTCTCCCGCTTGGGGGGCGGCGCCGCGTGCATCTTCTACAGAGCGCTGCCGTTGAGCTCGCGCTCGAGTGGAGCCGAAAAGATGCCAGCGAGGAAGGGGAAGGAAAGGAAGGAAAAGGGAAGGAAGAGGGCACCACAACACCGCCAAGAGGAAGAAGGCGATTAATGGGTTCTGGGGGGGGCTGTCTGTATATACATATATATATATATACAAGACTGCATTGGCGTTTCGCGCCATGCACCTTGGTCCTTCGAATCGAGCATAAATGCCTGTTCGCCTCATCCATGTTGGCCTTGAAGTGCGGCAAGCTCATTTAGGATTGCGTTTGGAACTGAATTTTGAAGCGGCCCCTGCAACGTGGCGGCGAGAGAGCGGAGGCCCCGAAATAATATAAAATCACAGGAAACCTGAAGTGTCGAGCTGCGAACCGTGATCTGCGCCTTCCTCTCTCGACTCTTGCCCTGCGAACCTCGAGCCTCAAACGTCGACGTGCGATCTTCTCGGGAAGTGCACCGAATCCCAAGTTCACAACGGATTTCCCGAATATTGTTGCGACGCACACATGTGTGCTGTCTCTCGTTACCGGGAATCGAGTCTGAGGCCAGCAGCACGAGGTGTCAGGGGGAGGAAGTCTGTTTCCGCCCCAGCGCGCTTGCGTTCCGAATAAAGTGGTCGGCCGTCAGGCGCCGCCAGCAGCAGCGGCCTCGTCGACCTCGTGCTCGTCGCCGGCTGCCACGTTCTCCCAGTCACTCCCGGCCTCTGCGTCCTCTTCTGCTGCAGCGCCCCCGAGCCGAGCCAGCAATTGCGACTCTTCGCAAAAGGCGAACTGCGCGCCGTAATCCGTGAGGGTGGCCTGCTCACAGAATGAGTACACCCGCCGCACCACGTCGTGGTTGAACTTAGCAAGAGTCGTGGCTTTGTGCTCCTGGAAAGCCTTCACGCGCGTGGCTCCAGCTTGCCGGATCAGGACGGTCCACAGCTGGATGGCGGCGGCGTTCTGGGCGTGAAGCACGGCAACCTTGCGAACCGGTCGTCCGCGTTTCCCGGTTGCCCACGCCGTGGTGCCCAATCGCTGGGACACCACGCGGCGCGGCCCGCTGCCTGCGAGCACGACCGCGGGAGTTTTCTTGTGCCGCCCGTGATCCGGGCACCGCGACGAGGGCTGTCGAATGCGCAACGCATTCTTCACTCTGAAGCTTCTCCACCCAGGAGACGCCGCGAGCACCCCTTCCATCTCTTCGGCGGACACCGCGAACAGGGCCGGTACCGTGCCGCCTTTGTGGCCGAGCTCCGTGAGCGCGCTCAGGAAGCATCTGCTGTTGGCGGCAATTTTTCTGAGCTCTCGCGCGGCTTTCGCTGCGTGGAGCTTGGCGAGTCTATTCTTCTGTAGCTTCCAGGGATTGAAACTGTCGCCAATCAGGTCGGCTGGGTGCCCGGGGTGTTGCTGGAGGACCACGTTGAGCTTTGCCACCACTCCCTTGGCTCCGGCGATGGTGTTCACATGATCGGCAATTATGCGCAATGCGCAAGGGGAGTGCAGGAACTCGAGCAACAGCGCCGTGCTATCTCGAGCGTGCTGCGGGCACTGATTCAGTATGTGTGTCTGAGCCCGGCCCGTTTTGTCAGCGCACTCCAAACATATTTTCTCGCCCTCGATGCTCCGAACGTACAAAGGAGCCGTGCTTGGTTGACCCCGCGTGGTTGTACACGTTCCACTCGCTGGTGGGCACGTACGTGTCGCGCCACGTCGACAACGCCGGAAGGAGGGCCTCACATTTGTGGGCGTGGACTCACATTGCGAACCACCCTGGCGCCATTGTCGCCCTGGGTGTCGATTTGAAGCCTCATGGGGTCTTTTTGGGGCTCCTGGGGGCCGATTGGAGCCTCTCGGAGCCTCGGGGGGGGGTGTTGGGGCGCCTCTTGGGGTTTTCTTAGGCCTTCTTGGAGCTCTCGTGGACCGGAAAGCTAGATCTTGGGATGTTTGGTCGCCCGCTGGGGCCTTTTTTGAGGCTTTATCGGGCCTTGTTGCCCTCTTGGGCGCTTCTTGGGTCGTCTCGGTGCCCGCTTGGGCCGTGTTGGGGCTGTGTAGGGGTTCTCTTGGACCGTGTTGCGGCGGTCTTGGGAGCCTCTTGGGCCGTCTTGGAACGTCGGGAAGCCGAAAAGGCGAGAAAGCCAAAAACTTCGAAAAACACCATGGGGGATCAACAATTGTGGCCTCTTGGGGCCTCTTCGGAAGCGTCTTGGAAGGCCTTTTGGAGCGTCTTGTAGGCTCTGGGGCCGTTTTGTGGGCTTCCCGCTAGCCCACTGCAGAGGCTTCGCAAGGACATTAGGGACGTCCAGAGATGCAGAAGGCCGGCCAGGGGCGTCCAGGAGGCCCGGAAGGCTCGGGGGACCCCCTTGACAGGCGTCCAAGGGGCCCCAAAAGCGCCAGATTCCGGGGGTCCGATTTCCCGGGGGGGGGGGGGGAGTCCCACCCCCCCGGATTGTAAAAATATAGAAAAGGGAATATGTATATATGTATATGTGCACATACATACATACTGACAGACATACATAAACACACATGCGTACACACGTATGTGTATATACATTTATGTGTATATACATATAGACACAGAGGGAGAGAGAGAGAGAGAGAGAGAGAGAGAGAGAGAGAGAGAGAGAGAGAGAGAGACCGACAGAGAGAGACTTTCTGACCGTCGCCGTACCAGCTACTGCAGGGCCCCAGTTTGGCCCTCTTCGGGGTGTCTCGCGAGGCCGCGCTCAGTCCGTCTTAGGGACCTCCTGGGCCTTTTTTCGTGTCTTCTGCGGCCGTTTCGGTTCTCTGGGCAATATTGGGGGCATCTTGGGGCTGTTCTGCGGCTGCGTGGGGGGCTCTGTTGGGCTGTCTTGGAGTGTCTCGGGGCCGTCTCGGGCCCCTATTGAGCCGTCATGGGTTCGTTTCGGGGCCATCTCAGGCGCCTATCGGGCCATCTTTTAGCGATCTCGGGGGCCTCTTCGGCCATCTCGAGCGCGTTGGAGACCGAGATGCCCGTCTCGGCGTGCTCATCGCGCCCTTCTGAGGCCTCCTGGGACCCTCTGGGGCCGTCTTGGGGCCATCCGGGACCGTCATGGGCCCTCCTGGGGCGCTCGCGAATCAGGCCCACCAGACGGACCCAGAGCTGCGTCAGGTAAGTTCTCTATGTTTTTGTTGTTGTCTGACGCTTCGCGCAACCCCACCAGCCCATCCAGAAACGATGCCAAGACGAGTTGCCCTGATCAAGGGAGTGGAGGGGCGCGCAGTGGATTTCAAGGCCGGGCGAGTCGCCATACCCCAAGAGGGGGGGGAATGGATAATGCACCAAAAACAACAGGAGGAGGAGGAGCAGGGAGAGGGGGAATAGGAGGGAGAGGAGGAAAGAGGAGGAAAAGGCGGAGGGCGAGGAAGATGGGGACGAGGAGGGGTGAGGAGGGCGAGCAGACAAGGCCAGAGGCATCTTGGATGCCTCCTGGAGTCTCGTCGGATGTCGTTCGGGAGTTTCTTGGAGGCCTTTTGGGACGACTAAGGGGGCCTCTCGGCGTTCCCGCGAGCCTCCTGGGGCGCCCTGGGTGCCTCTACGGGGCCTCGTGGTTGGGGCCCACTGGGGGGTCTCGTGGCAGCATACTGAGCCTCCCGGGCACCTCTTGGGGCCGCATTGGGGCACCCTGGGCGGCTTCGGTGACCATCTTGGCGCCATCTTGGAGGGAACCGATCAAAGGACGGGGCGGGATAGATTACCCCCCCCCTCCCCCCAGGAGGCCAAACTGTGACCAGAATATTCGTTTCACATATGTGTGCTTGACTTGCTCTCCGAGGCCAGAAAACACCTTCTGACACCTCGCGAAAGGCCCCCTCCAAACCCAGGGGGGGATCTCCCCCGAAGGGGAAGAAGGGGGTGGAAAAGGAAACGCTCTACACCACTCACGCCCTAAAGAGCTAGTTGGTGGGATTCAAAATGTGCAACAGGCTATGCACGTATACCGTGTGTAATCACAGATGTATACGTGAGTGCGTAATCATCCCCGTAGTTATGGATACATCTGTATATGCGTACGTATGCGTGTGCCAAAATATGATTATATCTGAGGCGTTCCAGAAAGGGCCTAGCCTTCAAGGGTCGACGGATTGCATCTCTTCCTCGGTGGAATGTTGGCGAAGGCCGGCGGATGCAACACATGCGCCCTCAGGATGTGATAATAATATGTTTGTGTGCAGGGTTTTTAGAAACGGCCGACTATAGACGTTCATCCACGGTTTCATCTTCGCATTTTACAGTTAGAAAGATTAGACGTGAGGATATACGTGTGCCATACGTTACATACAGATATCGCATCACATGTATCCGTGTATGTCGCGCTGGTTCGTTATATATATCTCTCTCTCTCTGTCTCGCTCTATCTGTCTCTCTCTCTCTCTCTCGCTCTCTCTCTCTCTCTCTCTGTCTCTCTCTCTCTCTCTCTTTCTCTCTCTCTCTCTCTCTCTTTCTCTCTTTCTCTCTTTATTTCCCCCCTCTCTCTCTCTATGCGTGTATGTATGGTTGAAGCGCTTTATATATTGTGTTTACATGTATCTGCAGTTACAAAGATCAATGCAAGTGAATCGCTCTACGCCGTTACATTTGTCACTGTGTAGATATGTGTATGCACATATGTACACGCAGACACCACACACACATGTACGTAAGGACCCCATCCATATCGAATTGCCTCTGCATATAAGTACATACGCATGCGTGTGTGTAAACATGTGTGTGGCTGCATGTGTGCAAAGTTTATGGCGTAGCCAAACACGTCCACGGGCCTTTGGCAAGAAATCGCCAGTCTATCGTTACTGTCATCTTGCTTGCTGCTGCTTGCCACCGGTTGCCGAGCAGCCCTGCAGCCAGACCCAGGCGCAGACCCTGGGCGCTTTCAAGCTCGCGCGCATGGCGTACGACAAGCTGCAGGCCCATCGACCATCTCGGCACCAGGGAGCATGATGGGAGCGCAGGGGAGGGGAGAGGACGGGTCGGCACACGGCGGAGATGGGGAGATGCGAGAGTGGGTGCGGGGGGGAGATAGCGAGAGCGAGCGAGGGAGGGAGGGAGAGAGAGAGAGAGGGACGGGGGCGTTTATACATACACACGTATACATGCATATATGTATGTATGAATGTATATGTGCTATATACATACATGCATATTTAGCTTCAGGTATTTCTGTATAGCGATAGACAAATCTATAGAAAGATGCGTATATGTGTGTGTGTCTATGTGCCGTTCTAGACGGGGCCCCGCCGCATCTTAGACGGATCGAGAGTTGGGCACCTCTTCCTCGGCGGAACGCCAGCGGAGGCCGGCAGAAGTGCAGCGGGGGCAGCTCCGGCGGCGGAAGCGGGTGGAAGGCCGGCGGAAGTTGGCGAGAGAGGATGAGGGACATGGGACATGGATTAGGGCGGACCGAGGTCCGCCTGCCGCCGCGGCGGCGCGCGCAAGTGGGAGTGGAGCCGAGGAGCCCGAGGATCCCACCGACAGGTGCGCCCCAGGAAGGGAGGGCCGTGGCCAGGGCCCCAACACCCCCGTGGGGACGGAGACCAACGGGCAACCGAACGCAACCACCAGGGCCGCCCCCAGGACCCCGCGGCCCGCAGACGAAGCAGCCCCCAGGCCGCCCCCAGAACCCCAGACGACCAGCAACCCGAGCCGAGACCAGCAGCTGCTCATAGCAGCTCGCCCTCACTGCTGGCACTAGTCACCTGGCCACTCCCTTCTTCTTGTTCTTCCATTTCTTGCCCACGGCCCCCGTGAGCATGGAGCTGAAGTCGTCGCCTGAGAGCCCGAATCCCTCCAGCACCCTCGCGAGCGCAGCCTCGTGCTCCTCGGAGCCAGGCTCGAAGGGGTCGCAGGCCTGCACGATCTGGTCGCAGAGGCCGCCTGGAGCGTCTACAAAGAGCACCTCGCTCCCTTGGCTCTCGTCCTCGGCCGGCCCCGTCAGCACCTCCGCCTCCGCCATCGTCTCGCGCGGGGGGGTGGCCACGCGTGAGGCCGCCAGCACCGCGGCTTCGAATACCGCTACGTCCTCCAGCTCCTCATGCTCGAGCCACCGCTGGGCGCGGCGGCATGCCGCCACAGCGGCCGCCCTCGCGTGCGCCAGCTGGTTGGCCGCGAGCGTGGCCTCCCAGCTCCGCAGCCCCCTCGCGCTCGGCTCCTCGCCGCCAGCGAGGCTCTCGGCATTCAGCACGTCCACGGCCTCCTGCTGCACCTTCACCTCCACGTCGGCCGAGCTGGCCGCGACGCTGCCCTCGACGCGCGGCGCCTTCGGCAGCCCCACCAACATGGGGCAGGCGGGGGTGGCAGGAAGCACCTGCTGGCCCAGCACGACCTGCACCAGCGGCCCCTCCGCGGTCTCCCCGGACGTCGGCCCCGCCATCTCGGGCACCACAGGGCTCCGTGGAGATTCTGGCCTGGATCGGGGCGCACCGGCGGCCCCCGCGCCAGGCCCTTCAATGAGCTAGCTGTCTGGGTCGCACATGCCCCCAGTCCGGCGGAATGCACATCGCTGGCCACTTGGGGGAACACCATAGGGACCCCGATCGGCTCCTCGGCGCTGCCCTCCACGAGCTGCGTCTTTGCGCAGAGCGGCGCCGTTGCCTCCCCCGCATTCTTCGCGATCTCGCTGCAGATGCCAGCCTCGACACGATATCGCTGCAGATGCCAATCTTGGTGTGCATCGCCTTCGACACCTCCATCGTCGTCTCGAGCCTCTCGGAGTCAGCCTCAAGGCCCACGCCGTCGGCGCCGACCCCGCAACCGAGCTCCTGCTCGGGGTCCTCGCTGCCGATGTCAATCACGGTGTGCAGAACCGTCGGCATCTCCAGCGTCTTCTCGACTCTCTCGGAGTTCGCCTCGAGGCACCCGCCGGAGGCGCCGACCCCGCCGCCGAGCTCAGGCTTGGACCTCCTGCCCGGCCAGATCCTGCTCGACCTGCGGCTCCTCCAGCCCGGCCTCGTCATGCGGCACGTCGGAGGCGAGGCTGACGCCGCTCGGCTGCAGCTGCTCCTCGAACGTGTCACCGATGAAGCGGCTCGCTGCTGCGAGGCTGCCCCTGACGATCTCCTTCACCGACAGCTCGCCCAGCACGAACGAATGGATCTCGAGGACAGCGCCCTGCGCGCGGAAGACCGCGATCGGCCCCTGAGCGCGCCCAACTGGCCGCCAGGCTTCACACCTCCATGGCTCGCCGACACGGGCCGGTCTGGAGTACGCGTCGGCAAGGCCCAAGCGCACGGGGGCGCGGTCAGGGCCCAGAACGGCTCGAGAGAGGATGAATAGGAGGAGGAGGAGGAGGAGGAGGACCAGTGTAAACCCAAGAGTTATCAACGATGTTGGAATATACCTCCCTCCAAGCTCCATCAGGGAAGTGGCCCGTTGGAAAACAAACGCGTGAAGGTCGTGAAGCGCGCCAGAGCACCATTCTCACGACTTAACCGTCACGAGTCAAGACGGTTGTTGCGCCTTGACGATCCGAATCGCGCCAGAACGCCACTCTTGGGATCTCAACACCGCGAATCCACGTAACTACTGCGCCCTGACAATCCTGAACCGTTCCAAATAAAACATCTCAGATATGCTACCATGAGAACCCGTCAGACTCTTGCATTATGTTGGAACGACTGTGCATGGCGCTAAGGCGGGAGCTATTCTGTGAAAACGACCCACCCTCAATCCGTGAAACTCGTTCTGACATTTCAGGCGAATGCGCGCAGCGCTAAGGCGAGAGCCACATGTTGAAAACGAACCGCCCCCAATACATGAAATTCCTGCAAAGGTCTAAAAAGAAGATGCGCGGTGCTACGGCGAGAGCCACATATTGAAAACGGCCCGCCCTCAATCAGTGAAATGCTCGCACTTGTTTGAAAAGAATGTGCGCGGCGCCAGCCAAGGCGAGAGCCACAGTTTGAAAACCACCCGCCCTCCATGTGCGAAACTGCTGCCAGATGTTTAAGCCTCAGGCGCATAAATGGTACGGAAGTCTCAGGCAAAACGCCCGGCCCGCCCTTCCGATTGGCCTCGGACTGCGACAGGGAAGAGTTATTCAGAAGGAAAAAATGAAGCAGGAGGAGGAGGAGGAGGGAAAAGGGGGAGACGGAGGAGGAGGAGAAGGAGGAGGAGGAGGAGGAGGGGGAGGGGAGGGGAGGGGGGGAAGAGGTAGGAGGAGTGAGGAGTAGTAGACGGAGGAGAGGTAGTAGTAGCAGGGAGGAGGAGGAGGAGAAGGAGGAGGAGGAGGAGGAGGAGAGGGGCGGGAAGGAGGAGGCGAGCACGCGAGGGAGAGAGAGCAGCCGCAGCAACAGGGAGGGCGCCGCAAGGTGTTGCGAGTGCTTCCCGCGTGGCAGCACCAGATCGACCTGAGCTGCCTCACCATTCGCTCCAAGGCATACAGCGACCAGGACCGCAAGGGAGGGGGGGGGGGGTCGCGTCCTCCTCCTCCTCCTCCTCCTCCTCCTACTCCTCCTCCTCCTACTCCTACTCATCCCTCCTCACACACCATGGAGTATGCTGAGCATGCCTCCTTGTGGTGGTGCACAATCTGCGGCCGTCATGCCACAGCGTCTGATAGGGGTAGTGTCAAGGGGCTCTTCGACCAATGCGGACCCCCCCACTAAGAATGGGAAGTACGTAATATCACGCCTGTCTCGGGGTATAGATATACCCCCCTGATGCCCGTGCCCAGGTTTTCGGAATTCCTGAGGCTCCACGGGTTGCGCCGTCCTAGGGGCCCCAAGCGCTTCTGGGCCCCCGACACGGCGCACGCCTAGGCGAAACTCGACACCGTCGTCGCCGAATTCTCCCGAATTCTCATCCCTCCTCCTCCTCCTCCTCCTCCTCCTCCTCCTCCTCCTCCTCCTCCTCCTCCTCCTCCTCCTCCTCCTCCTCCTCCTCCTCCTCTCTCTCCTCCTCCTCCTCCTACCTCCTTCCTCCTCCTCCTTCTCCTCTTCCTCCTTCTCCTCTTCCTCCTCCTCCTCCTCCTGTCCTGTCCTGTCATGTTTCCCCCCTCGGGGGGAGGGGGGGCCGCTTGGAATGTGTGCGCGAGATGCGGGTGTGGCTTGGCTCGGGCGTGTGCCCCTGCCGAGGCACCCTCATGCTTGGGTTGTGCGTTCGTCATGCGTCTCATATCCCCTCCTCCCCCCCCTCTCCCCCTCCCACACGACCACCTGTGCTTGGTCGAAAGGTCCAAAGTTTCTGCTCCTCCTCCTCCTCCTCCTCCTCCTCCTCTCCCTCCTCCTCCTCCTCCTGCTCCTCCCCCTCCTCCTTCTCCCCCTCCTTCTTCTCGGCAACAGCGCACGTTGGCTGCGCAATGTGTTCGTCTGTTTCCAGAGTTGGGCAACATCGAGCAGCCGCACTACATTCCGTCGAGGCGCCGGGCGCCACAACAGCTATGAAGCCGCCATAGCGTCTCGACCGCAGTAGCATCTCGACCCCGACTGGGAAGCTTCGGGGTCTTGCCCCCGCATCGGGGAGCATTGGAGACCCAGCGGGCGTCGCAGAGAGCCCTCCGACCACATGCCAGTCTTCCTCTTGCTCTCGTCTGCCTCCAGGCCTGCCGTGCTCAAGATCCCGAGGGCCATCAACCGCGACCCCCGGCCAGACAGCAAATCTCAAACCTGGTTGACCACTCTGGCCCCATTTTCCGAAATCCGATGGGATATCGTGCGTGAGGCTGCAAGGCGAGACCGTCGGCAGTGGGAGCAGCTCGGAGCGACGAAGATTGCCATGTGTGGACTACGACTGGCATGCGTTGTACCCCGAACGGTATCCTAATCGCAAGACTCATGCCATCTGTGCGTACCCCGTTCTGGCGGCATATGTGTATAAATCTAT